TGGCTACACAGGTAGGGGCGCGCTCCTCAGGAGATCACCTCTCTGCTGACCATCTGAGGTAGAACCTCTCCATCAGAGGAGGGCAGAACTTCCAAGGTCTCTGGGTTGCCCAGCGACTGTGTTGCTGGTTTGGTGGTCTGTGAGGGGTTTTGGGGTGCCTCTGGGGTCAGCCGCATGCGTGCAGGCACGCCGGAGAGCACTCAGGCTTCAAGGCTGGGTGCTGCAGACCTCGTGGAGGGTGTAGGACTTGGCTGAGCGCAGGGCGTTTGATGCCTTGTGTTGTCGCTCATGCCTGAATGCCTCCTGCTTGGGTCCAGGAGGAACTGGTGTCTGGTTTGTATTGCTGAGAACACAAGGTAGTAGCGAGCCCTCGTTTCCCCCTCCAACACTTTTATGCAACATGCTGGTCACTTGCTTGTGGTTTCCCACCTCGAGCAGGAGCGGCTGCCTTTCCGGCATTGCTGGGTGTGATGTGAAACGATCTTCTCCCCTTTTGGTGTGGACGAAGCCCTGGGTTTTGCTCTTTACCTCGGTGCGAGGCAGGGATGGGATGGTGCCAAAGCAGACTCAAACGTTTTCCATTCCCTGCGCTGGGAGAGATGAGAAGGTGACAGGCCACGGAAACTCCGGGTTTTTATATGACAGCCCTCCAGCATCTCCATGGAGAGAAACCCGGTGGGATGGGACTTCCAGCTCAAATTGAGATAATCCTTTCCAGTCGTTCTGCGCCGCGTCTTTTCCCTGTGCTAGAAGTAAAATTCACAGGGTAGGCTCCTGCCAGTTCCCCTTTCCCTCATGCGTACGGATCTCTCCTGACCCAGCTGGTAGCAGCTGTGGCCTGGAGGAGCCAAGGGGTGGAAATAGTTTGTGCCGATAAAGATCATCAAAAGCTTCAGAGCAGATCCTGAGGTGCGACTGTCCCTGAAGTCTCTTCCCACGCACAGCTCGTCTTGGGGCTGATATCTATTTTTTTTGTGAGGGGGAGAGAGACGCAGAGGGGAGGAGAGGTGGAGAGATAATTTTAGGAGCTATGTGTAAAAAAGGAAGTGGTTTGTTGCTATAGCTTTAGTTAGAAAGAAAGCTCAGCCCTGCCTGCTGAATGAGCCCGTTTCAACCGAGTCGATGCAAAACAAAAATGGTGCTCTGCTATTCCTGAATGGTTTTCTGCTGGGGGATGTGGTGGGAGAGGCAGGAGCGGTAGGAGGGGCCGTGCCCCTGGACACCGTCCTCTGCCGTGCCACGGAAGTGGATGTTCCTGAGAAAAGAGACCAGCGGGCGCAACTTGCCATTTTGATTCCTATTTTCTCCTGATAACGCCTTTCACTCCGGCCTGTGGAAGTGTTTTGGGTGCCCAGTGCCTGGGCAGGAGCATTGGTTGAGTTTTAACAGCTGGGGAAACTGAGGCGCGGGAGACACTGACAAAACTAGGAGCTTGATTTTCCACGCTGGATGTTTCCACCCACGTTTGCTCCAGCTCCTGGAAAAGAGCTGCCCCCGTAGAGGAGCAGCGTTCCCGGCTCCCTCCGTGAGCGAGGAGCCGGAGTCGGTGGCTGGACCCTGTGTTTTGCCAAGGAGCATTAGCACCCCAAAGTCTGTCCTTGGACTCGTGCCACCAGGAAGGGGAGGCTTTGGTAAAGGCAACGCCGGCGCACGCTTCCAAACGCTTAGAGCTGTGTAACATTTTCCCTTGCCTCGTGTCAAACCCCTTTCTGAGCTGGGAAGGTAATCCCTTGGCCCAGACGTTTCGGTGTGATCAAGAAGTGGGAACATCTGATTTTTTTTTCTTTTTGCATTGCTTAATTTGAGAAACTCTAAATGGGGAGAGGAAAATCGGAGGTTTCCAGAAGCAGCCATCACTTGGAAATCCTTGGGCTGGAGCACTGCTTGCTTGCTCCAAATCCTGCTAAGCACTAATTCAGCACTCAGACTGCCACAGCCTGCATTTACCGTTGGGAAGGATCTTTGGAGAGATGAGCTTTGCGGGCACGTGACTCCAGAATTGTCCTCTGTCCCTTTTTAAAGCCTACTGACCTGTCAGCACCTTAAGCTTGCTGTGCAAAGGGAGCCCAGCACGGGTGCAAAGTGAAGCCAGGTTGCTGTGAAAGCAGGTCGCAGCGAGAGCAAGTAAGAACATGTCGCGTGACAGACCGTAGGAGAACTGGGCACTCTCAAAACTGCTTTGTATTAGTGTATTTCTGAAAAAAAAAAATAGGAAAAAACCCCAAAAAACAAACCCAAAAGAAAAATCCAGGCTGGCCACTGAGAAGTGCTGGACCTGTCTCTTGGGCCAGCTGAGGAAGGAGCGTGGGGACTCTCAGGCAGAATTCTTAGATCCTTCTTTTTTTGCTTTGCTTTACATTACTTTTACTTTACTCGGGGGAGGAAGTGCTGTCTAGCAGCTACAGCGGAGGAACTTGAAGTCTGGGCTCCTTTTGCAGCTCTGGTGAGGAGGTGGAGCCTCCAAACGAGCAGAGCAGGGGATTACCAGCCCCGCGTCCCAAAGCGCCAGGACCTCTGCCTTCCCTTGCTCACCCCAATGATGCCTCGAGCACAGGTCCGACACCGGTCACCAGCTGGTGGAGCACCCAGCAGACGTGCTATGGTGTGCACCCTTGAGGGCTGGGAGGGTGAAGCCTGGAAGATCACGTCCTTCATCTCCAGCACTCTCTGGGTTGACTTTAAGAACTTGACAATATTGTTCAGGTTTTGTCACCAAGGGCCTGTTTTGCCGGTGGCCCAGGGAGGTGGCACAGTGCTTTATCGCAGCCGCGGCGGATCTCTGATGGTATCTGCCTGAGGAGGCACATGCTTTGGTGAGAAGGTGCATTTTGGCGGAAGCTCCATTTGCGTTTGATGTGTTCTTCACCCAGCTCGCAAGCAGCTTTTCAAAGCTGCGTTATCTGCCCCCACATCTTGACCTAATTTAACAAGTTGCCATGGTTGCTCAGATAGAGGTTGATGCAATTTTCTTATCTTTTTTTGAAGGAGAAATGTAGCTGCTCGGGAGTTGGTGAACTTCAGTTTCCATAGCTGCAGGGAGGGCTGGCCCTGGACACCTCTGGTTTTTGGGGCCAGCTGTCTCAAAGCTTGGCCAGCTGGAGTCTTACATCAAGCCAGACTTTTTTTCTGTATTTTTTTGACATGGCCTAGGAAACCGAGACAGAATGCAGCTATTAAATTTAGGCAAGCAGCGGGCAGATGTGCTGAACCTCGCCTTGGCTTAGCCGAGCTCGGTTTAAGCTCCCCGGTTCGTGCAGCAGCGCGGTGTTTGGTGTGGGCGGCTGGCTCGTGCTAGGTGCACGCTGGCACGCAGGCACAGATCCCTCCGTACCAGAGCTTGGCTGGGCTAAATCGAGCTCGGCTTTCCCTCCGTGCCGCCTGCAGCCCTGCCTGGGGCTGGGCCAGAGCAGGATC